CCCTGGTGAGCTCTTCCAGTCTCTCCTTCTTCATCCTGTCGAGGGCGTGCGATTTCCTCACAAGGTTGTACTGACCCCACAAACAGGCATGCTTTTCCCTCAAATCCTTCAACTCCTGGTCCGTCCTAGCTAGTAGCTTGCTAGTGTGGACTTTAGTGCGAGTCCGCCTGCGCACTAATTCGATGTAGGATCCCGGTTGGAGTGGATCGGCGTACTTATCAAATTTGCGATCTAAGTACTTCAGCAACGGTATCACCTGCTCAGAGAGCGCCGCCGCCGGCGCTCCAACAATTTCCTCCTCCTCCTCCTCGGTATCTCCTGCTCCCGACATTGCTTCTGTGGAGCCTCCGTCGTCATCATCCGAGTTAAGGATTTCAATCGCCATTGATTGCGTTGGCGACTGACCCGAGTGGGGCTGCACGTCGTTTACGGGTGCTGCCTGCGAAGGCACAGCTGCAGCCTCGCTGCTCTTCGCTAAAATGTCCAAGGCGGTGGGCGAATGTGGCCGTGCTACATCCCCGTCGCCCGCTTGTCGGTCTTCGACCGTATCTTCTCTGCCGCCGACGTCCGCCGCAGGCGCGGCGCCGAAGGCGACATAGCCGGAGGCCGCTCGCCCGATGTCCCTTGGCCCGAAGGCCCTACAGCCGAAGGCACATCTACTGGCGGATTACCCGCCGACGGTGCGGCCTCCGCACGCTCCCTGCTCGCATCTCCTCGGCCCGAAGGCCCTGGCGCCGAAGGCGCAAATCGCGGCGCGTTGGGCGCCGGAGGGTCTGGTCCCGAAGGCCCGTGACCCGTAGGCGGATCTTCCGCCGGCTCCTTCCCCTTCCTACGTTGGAATGGGGGTGAATCCAGCCTGTGCGCAGGCGGCATGTGCACAGGCGGACTGCCTCTTCCTACTCGTAGGCGTAGGTCCACGTCCGCTTGGGGTCGCCTTTCCGTCGAGGCACGCCTGTGCGCAGGCGGAACACCCGTCCGCAACGCACGTGGTAACTCCGGAGGCCCTTGGCCCGTAGGCGGCCTCTCGTCCGTCGAAGGTGCAGCGTGGCCCGTTGCTCCTGCAGACGTCCGCGCTCCCTCGTTCTTCTCCGGCGACTCACTTCCTTTCTCCGTGCCAATCGTCGCCGTGTCCGCGCTGCTGGCGGGTAACACGAGCCTGCGCGCCTTCTGCTTCGGCCGGCTGCACACTTCGTGCAACGGCCGCTGTCGAATGGGAGCAGTGGGTTCTTGATGCTGCTCCTCTTCGGACTCCTCTCTCCATCGCCGCTTCCGCGGCACTCTTGCTACGGGAGTGTTTCTTCCTTCGTCTCTCCGCCTTGGCGGAGTAGAAGTCGGCGACTCCTCTGCGTCAGTGTCGACCTCGTTCTCCCGCACATACTTCCCGGGATGGTCGACGGACAACGGCGGAAAACGAGCAAGCTCCGCCGCGGTCAAACAATTTCGCTGCCGATAAAAATTGATTAGGAAAGGGGAGAGATGATTTAGAGTTCCCCCCTTCTCCTCGAAAGCGTGCTGTCGCATCACTCTGTGCAGGATGCTCGCCCAGTGAATTGGAGCTCCCTCGATGATGCACTCCACAAAAGAGACCTAACACAACGTGATGTAGCAGGCGCGGTGTGGCTGCAGTAATTGCAGCAGCGCCGTAGCCACAGTTCGGCGGAAGCGATCCTTGTAATCGCGGGTCTTGTACCCATTCTTGGTAGAACTCTCCCGCTTGAATAGCTCCACAAATTGCGCCTCGTCCTGCTTAGACACCTTGACGCTCTCACTATCAAAGAGGAGGTGCCTGGGATGCCGGCACACCTCCCCAATGCCTGCGCCCAATCTTGGACCGTCCACCGATCGACATGCGGCCGCAATCCGCGCGTAGGTGGTCCCTGTGGCTCTAGCCACTCGCGCACCATATCCACACAGATGTAGTTCCATCCCCATAGCAAGAAATCGAGCTTTCTTGCTATCAGCCGCTCCTCGTAAGCGCGCAGCCCGTTCTGTGGAAGTCGGAGCGGTTCCGCAATCGGTTCAGTCTCGACATTGCGTTCTTGGAATTCGCCTGTTCGCTAATTCTCCCTCTGCTCCGCTCGAGCTCCTTGCTTCCTCGGCAAACTCTAATCTCACTCAATTCCAAATCACGCGCACTCACTTCTCTCTCAATCACCAAGTAATCCTCTACGCGGCGATGTCGGGAATGCTTAGCAGCTAGCAGATGGACGCGCGTAGCTTGCACTAGAAAATGGAATCGCGAATTCAAGAATGGGACGCTCTCCGCCTCCCGGTCGAAGGTCATGGTCGGCTCTTGCCCGTGAAGGTCGACTCAATTGATGGCCGCGCCGGCTCTACGCTAAAACCGTCTCCGCTCTCACGCGCGGCTTCACGCTCCGCCGACGCCGATTTAACTCACACGCTCGAATTGGCGAATTTGAACTCCGCGAGCGTACTACGCAGGGGACATGGGTGCGCAGCGCCGAAGGCGTCTTTTCCGCCTTGCGCGGTACACTCGTTCGTACAGCTCCTCAGCCAATCCTCCTCTGCCCGACGCTTGTCCGCACGTCGGACAAAAGTTCAACTCCCGCCTATGCGCAGGCGGACTCCTCGGCGGATTCTCCGCCGGCGCGGAACTTCACCCGCCTGTGCGCAGGCGCTCGCCTGTGCGTAGGCGAATTCCGTCCGCGTCGATGCGCTGGCGCGGAAGGCGTTGACCGCGGTCAACAGCCTTCCGCCAGACTGTCTGTTCCTTGTCTCTCCGTCGGCGCGCTCGCCGCCGCAACTCCGCCCGACCACGAGAGCATCCATCCGTCCCGTTCGTACAGTCCGTACGGATTTTACTATTCTGGCGGCTCCTTGCTCGTCCGCGCCGTTGCGCTGGCGCAGAAGGCGCCGTACAATTTCTACCTCCGAAGGCGCATTTCTAGGGCCGAAGGCGGATTTCCCGCCGACGCCGAAGCGCCTGTGCACAGGCGGACGCCTGTGCGTAGGCGAACTTCGAGCCTACATCAAAAACCCTATTTCGCCTGTGCGCAAGCGAACTTCCTTCGTCCGCGCATAGGACAAAACTTTCTTCGCCTGTGCGTAGGCGGAAAGCTGAGTATCTTACAACCTTCATAACTCCCGGAGTCCTCCTCCGTTGTTGGCGTTCTTGGGCTCGTTGGAATCAGCGCGTCGGGCTCTTTCCAACGAGACCCTAACCAGGTCGAGGCGTTTGGGGGTTGACCTAAATATAAGGATTTCCCTACCGCCGAGGACGCAGCGCCGAAGGCGGATTTTGCGCCTTGCGCCGAAGGGATCATACCTTTAGAGCTCGCAGGGAGGGTGATGCCCTCCCTTGACGCTGCACCCAACTCCTAGATTCTACGAGGTCCCTCGAGAATCTCTGCGATCTTCCGAATTCACTCTATTTTGATGCACCAAAGGCTATTTACACTGCTGCCGTGGTACAGTTTTCCAAAAATGTTTTAATTTCCTCAAAATTACCAAAAGTGGGGTACCACACCCACCACTGCCACAGCGCCAACGTTTTCGTCGTCAAAACTTACGCCGGCCAATGTTCTTCACTATCAATCCGTCAACGGTTACTCCAACAACTTCAATTCTCTCGACTCCGGTCACGACTTCTATCCCTCCGGTTTCACCTCCAGTCTCGTCATCAATTTCCACTCCATGGACAGCATTGTCACTGACCACTCACGTAATTCCACATCCGCATGGGCAACTACAGTCAAACCCAGCCCGACGGAGGAAGTAGTGCTCCATCAAGTCATTGTGACAACTCTAGCACGAGTGAGGATTCGACCACCCGTCAAGCGCCCGCTCGTAGCGCGCCCACCCGTCCAACCCGTGGAGAGTGTTCCAAGTGCATCACCGTCATTTATACCTGTGATAAGCTCAGATCGTACTGACCACATTGGAGATACTATAATAACTAAATTCATTATACCTTGGCTTCACTCCGATGATCCACATAACCAAACGGATCACAGAGCAACCATTATTCCAATGAGAAATCGCGAATGACACATGAATGGTAGTTGTTGGAATAATCTAGCTGTTAGGTTTGTTTCAGTTTCGTCAGTTAGGACGAACACTTTAAGTCTTAGGTGTCGTTTTGAGTTTTCAGATAAACGGGACTCAGTCTGTCGCGTCCTAGGTCTTTAGGAGGACAGAGTCGTGGTTGTGCGCTCTGATCCGTAGATGTAGGATCGCCGTGGGCAAGCTCCAGGACGTGGGATGGCACGGCCTAGTCTGGGACTCCGCAATCTCCACGGCATGCTTCTGTAATCGCTGAATAAAAGGGCAAGAGAAAATAGAAACGCGGCAAGTTGTACGCTGCACAAATCGTCTGTGTGTTCATCTCTCTTTCTCTGTTCCTTGTTCATCCAGTTCACGCACGAGAGCTTCAGAGAGATTGGGTTGTAGGTAACACGTGGTATCAGAGCCTAGGTTGCAATGGGCAAGGGTGCGATGCCGAAGGGCGCTGGCGATGGCTCCGACCCCAAGACGCAAGGCGATGCAGCCGCTGCTGAGGAGGCGAAGAAGAAGTAGGAGGCGCTCGGGACGCTGCAGTCATCATCGCGCGCGCTCGCCGTTCCGCGCTATGGGCGCGACGGGGGCGGCGGATCGAGCACGCAGTGGCCAACCCTCACCCGCACCAACTACAACTCGTGGTCTCTCCTCATGCGCGTGATCCTTTAGGTGAGACATCTGTGGGATGTGATTGAAACAGGAGAAGGCGAGTACGACGACGATCGCGCGACAATGGAGGTGATCCTCCTGGCGGTGCCCCAAGAGATGATCCACATGCTCGCTGTCAAGAAGACGGCGAAGGAGGCATGGGACGAGATCAAGACGATCCGCGTCGGCGCCGAACGCGTACGCGAGTCCAAGGCCCAGGTGCTGCGCAAGCAGTACAAGTCCATCCGGTTCAAGCCGGGTGAGAGCGTCGACGACTTCAGGATGCGCCTACTGGAGCTGATCCAGCAACTGGAGGTTCTCAGCGATCCCATCGACGACAAGATGATCATCCTCAAGTACCTGCGCGTCGTCCCCAAGCAGTACAAGCAAATGGCCCGCTCCATCGAGAGCCTGCTCGATCTCAGCACCATGTCGATCGAGGAGCTCACGGGTCGTCTCAAGGTGTGTGACGAGCACGACGACGAGGATGAGGAGGAAGACACGGGCGGCGGCAAGCTGCTGCTCACTGAGGAGCAATGGCGCGCCCGCATGAACCAAGGTGCTCCCTCTGGCGGCGGTGGGGGGAACTCCTCCTGCAAGCAGAACCGGAACAAGGGTCGCGGCCGCGACTGCGCGCGCGACAAGGGCCACGCCGGCACTGGGACCAGTGGCGGGCCTACACGCGACGACGAATGTCGCTACTGCAGCAAGAGGGGACATTGGGCCTGTGACTGTCGCAAGAAGAAGAGGGAGGAGGCGCATCTCGTCTAGAACAACGCCGGCGGCGCCGATGACGAGCAGGGCGCGCTCCACCTCGCGCAGCTGTATGGTCTTGTTGTCAAGCTTGAGCAGGCCGGTGAGCACGTGTTTCTCAACGAGGAACGTGCCCGGGTGCGGCTTGGCGACGAGAGCGAGCTGGTCGACGCGGCATGGTACCTGGACACGGGCGCGTCTAACCACATGACCGGCAACCGAGCCCTGTTCGTCGATCTGGATGTCAGCGTCGACGGCACCGTGAGTTTCGGCGACAACTCCGTCGTCGACATCAAAGGGCGAGGCACCGTGCTGATAACAGTACGAGGAGGGGAGCATCGTGCTCTAACAGACGTCTACTTCATCCCACGTCTGAAGACGAGCATTGTCAGCTTAGGACAACTAGACGAGAACGGCTACCCCTCGTCGATCCGCGACGACTACATGTCGCTCTGGGATCGGCAAGATCGGCTCCTCGCCAACGTAACTCGCTCGGCTTACCGTCTGTACAAGGTGGTTCTGCAGGTCGCACAGCCAGTATGCCTGTCCGTCAGACATGGCGACGGGGCGTGGCGCTGGCACGAGCGTCTCGGGCACCAAAACTTTGGTGCGTTGAAGACGATGGCGCGTACCGGGCTACTGCGTGGCCTGCCTCCGATCGAGCATGTGGAGCAGGTGTGCGACGCTTGCCTCGCTGGTAAGCAGCAGCGGGCGCCGTTCCTGCAGGTGGCCAAGTACCGGGCCACGGAGACGCTAGAGTTGGTGCACGCAGACCTCTGCGGCCCCATCTCACCGGCAACACCAGGAGGAAAGAAGTTCTTCCTGCTGATGGTGGACGATCACAGCTGCTTCATGTGGGTGGTCTTGCTGGTGTCGAAGGACGGCGCCGCCGCGAGCATCCAAAGGTTCAAAGCGGCGGCCGAGCTGGAGTCCAAGCATCCTCTGCGCAGGTTTCGCACAGATCGCGGGGGAGAATTCACCTCCATCGCGCTTGGAGAGTTCTTCGTCGAGCACGGAGTACAACGCCACCTCACTGCCCTGACTCTCCGCATCAAAACAGGGTGGTGGAGCGTCGCAACCAGACGGTGGTCGGCATGGCACGGAGCATGCTGAAGGCCAGGAACGTGCCGAACAGGTTCTGGGAGGAGGCGGTGCTGACCGCAGTGTACGTGCTCAATCGCTCGTTCACCCGCAGCGTGGACGGGATGACGCCGTACGAGGCGTGGCACGGGTAGAAGCCAGATGTGGATCAACTCCGCGTGTTTGGCTGTGTCGTCCACGCAAAGATCACCCGCCCAGGACTGAAGAAATTGGACGACCGCAACGTCAAGGCAGTCTTCCTCGGCTACGAACCAGGCACCAAGGCGTATCGCCTGTTCGATCCGGTGGCGAACCGGCTCATCGTGTCCCGAAACGTCGTCTTTGATGAAGGGGCGAGCTGGGATTGGAGCGGAGAAGCAGACGACGGCGACGCTGAACAGCTCGTCGTGGAGTACATGGTGCATGGGGGAGCACATCTGCACGGGGCAGCAACCGCTGGGCCCGCCTCTCCTTCCTCATCACCTGCAAGTCCAACGCCATCGGAGGGCGCTGCCACCTCTCCCTCCATGCTGTCTACAGGTTCAGTTTCGTCAGAGGACGCTGCCACGCCAGAAAACTCTGCCACGACAAGGTCTGGACCTGCAAGCGCGAACAAGCCAATCAAGTTTGTCTCGCCACCGACGGACTTCGCCAGCACCCTCGATGATGCGGATGATCCAGCACGCCCATATCGGTTCAGGCTTGTCGCGGACCTGCTGGACAAGGCCGCGGAGGTCCCGAGGCAGGCGGAGCGGCTCTTCTTCATCGACGAGCCGGAGAACTTCGCTGATGCCGAACCTCACGAGTGCTGGAGGAGGGCGATGATGGATAAGCTTAATTCCATCAAGGAGAATGGTACGTGGACGCTCACTAATCTGACTACAGGACATTGTCAAATTGACTTAAAGTGGGTGTTCAAGACAAAAAGGGACGCAGCCGGCGCAGTTGTCAAGCACAAGGCGCGGCTGGTCGCCAAGGAGTACGTGCAGCGCGAGGGCATCGACTTCGACGAGGTCTTTGCGCCTGTCGCTCGCCTCGACTCCGTGCGGCTGCTTGTGGCCGTGGCTGCTCAGTAGGAGTGGCAGCTGCACCACCTCGACGTCAAATCCGCGTTTCTGAACGGGGAGCTGCAGGAGGAGGTCTACGTCGCCCAGCCGCCCAGCTTTGCTCACGCCAGCGAGGAGCACAAGGTCTATCGCCTTCACAAGGCGTTGTACAGCCTACGGCAAGCACCACGGGCGTGGAACATGAAGCTCGACCACACGCTCAAGGAGCTGGGCTTCACTAGCAGCCCGTTAGAGCACGCCATGTACGCGCGGGCAAGGGCGCTCACGGCTCTTGCTTGGGGTGTACGTCGACGACCTGATTGTCACCGGCGCGGATGCAGAGGAGATCACGCGCTTCAAGAAGGAGATGATGGAGCGTTTCCGCATGAGCGACCTCGGGTTGCTTCACTTCTACCTCGGCATCGAAGTGCGCCAAAATGCGAGCGGCATCACCTTGTCTCAGGCTGGGTATGCCGGCAAGCTGCTCGAGCGCGCGGGCATGGCAGAGTGCAACCCTGCACTTGTGCCGATGGAACCGCAGCTTAAGCTGAGCAAGGACAGCAAGAACCCTGTGACGGACGCGACCTTCTACCGGAGCATCGTCGGGTGTCTGCGCTATTTGGTGCACACTCGGCCTGACATCTCTTTCGCTGTTGGCTACGTGAGCAGGTTCATGGAGGCGCCAACTACTAAATATTTGGCGGCCGTCAAGCATCTTCTCCGCTACATCGCGGGCACGCGGAGCTATGGATGCAGGTATTCAAAGGACGGCGATTAGGAGCTGATTGTTTCAGCGACTCGGACATGGCTGGTGACATGGACGACCGGAAGAGCACCACTGGTGTTCTGTTCTCACTCGGTGGCAGCCCGATCACCTGGCAATCTCAGAAGCAGAAAACTGTGGCGCTTTCCTCGTGCGAGGCGGAGTACATCGCAGCCACATCAGCGGCATGCCAAGCTACATGGCTGCGCCGTTTGCTGGAGGACATGATCAGGAAGCAGAGTGACACCACCACCATCTACATCGACAACAAGTCAGTCATCCAGTTGTGCAAGAACCATGTCTTTCATGATCAGAGCAAGCACATTGAGGTGCGCTATCACTTCATCTGCGAGTGTGTCGAGTCCAAGAAGATCTGCGTCGAGCACATCAGAACGGAGGAGCAACTCGCAGACATTCTCATCAAACCCCTCGGGCGCACACGTTTCCAGGAGCTCCGCGCACGCATCGGCATGGTGGATGTCAAATAAGATCACAGCTAGCTTAGGGGGAGTTTGTTGGAATAATCTAGCTGTTAGGTTTGTTTCAGTTTCGTCAGTTAGGACGAACACTTTAAGTCTTAGGTGTCGTTTTGAGTTTTCAGATAAACGGGACTCAGTCTGTCGCGTCCTAGGTCTTTAGGAGGACAGAGTCGTGGTTGTGCGCTCTGATCCGTAGATGTAGGATCGCCGTGGGCAAGCTCCAGGACGTGGGATGGCACGGCCTAGTCTGGGACTCCGCAATCTCCACCGGCATGCTTCTGTAATCGCTGAATAAAAGGGCAAGAGAAAACAGAAACGCGGCAAGTTGTACGCTGCACAAATTTTCTGTGTGTTCATCTCTCTTTCTCTGTTCCTTGTTCATCAAGTTCATGCACGAGAGCTTCAGAGAGATTGGGTTGTAGGTAACAGTAGTGGAACGGCTTTGAGAAGGTTCCAAGTACCCTAATTCATATCGCATGGACGCACGACAAGTCGATCCGCCAAGGAACCATCTATTTATTTCAGACTCTCCTGCAACAGGTGGAGTGCATGATGAGCAGCATGGTATGGATGTAGATTCGGGAGAAGGATTCATCCTGGTTCCACCTGTCATCACGACCTCTTCTGACTCCATCAATTCATCGATTATACCCTCTATACGGATCGGCATGATATCATCCAGGATCTAGCTACGGAACAGCCATCTCATCCTCAATTGCCAGCCGGACAACCATCGACTTCATCCGAGCTAGCCGCTACAATAAATCCAGCGACCCGGGATGACGTCCCCAATCCTCCGAGATTGAACCCGATGCACCTTCCACAAGTGGTCCCGCCGACTCCAATTTGTTCATGGATGGAGCATCAAACCTGCCTTCCACCCTTGCATCCCCCACCAGAGCCGACTCTAACGAACATACGTCTAGCTTCCTCCTGGAGAACCTAAAGACAAGCCAGCCACAACATCTAGAGACGGCATTTGGAACTTCAATCCAATTGACCCAGTTGGAAAGCAGCAACCTAGCTCGGTGTCAACGACGGCCAATACTTCGTCAGTACTGGACCTAAGGACTGTTGCTCGACTGAAAACTATCCCATCAACGAACCAGCCTCCCCCATACAATCTGTGGGGTTTTAGACGACAGGGCTACTAGCGCGACAAAGACGCCAAATCTCCTCCAAGTGGTCCATGAAACTACAATTTTATCACTCAACGACTGAAGCCTTAACGACGAGGTGGACGACAATCCGCAATTTGCGGGGAGTTTGCGTTATTCATGGGACAATAATCAACGTCATGGGAAGCGAGCCTTGGCGAGACTAGATCGTCTATATCTTTTTGATCTTCATCATACTCACTGGATCGGACATTACTCCAATACAACATTAAGAGTAACTTCATTAGGTCCAATTACCATCACTTCCATATGACTGTGAAGCTAGCTGATCAGCCTCCTCAGAAGATGCATTGGAAGATGAATGCTCTATGGCTAGAGGCAGCAGCACCATGAATACAACAAATTTGGCTACCCAAACATCCTCGCTCTACTTTTTTTGCGAAGCTCTAGCGGGTGATACAGTTCTATCTGAGTTTCTGCAAGAAACGGGCCGCGGCCTACAGAGCAGACGAAGAAGCCTTGATCCATCAACTCGAAGAAGCAACAGCTAATGCCCAGCAGGATCCCCATAATCCCATTCTCATGAATCGACGTGGAGCGATTCGGACGCCTCTAGCGAACGTCTAGGAGCGGAAAATTGCGGTTTGCAAAGCTAGATCCAAAATACGCTAGAAATTTCGCGGGGACCAAGTTAAGAAAGAATTTTTTTTTAGCGGTCATGGAAAAGACGCACTCGACTCAGATCACGGCCCTCCACGATGTCTCTAACACTCAAATTACCAACCG